GTGCAGCCTGGAACTGTGCTAATGCGTGTCGCTTAGACGGATTAATTTGGAAATATCCACTAGCATTAGAAGGAAGAGTTAAATTCACGTAGAGAAGTTTCTATACAAGGCACGGAGTGGCGCCATCCGCGTGCCCCCACCTCGGTCACGCAGGCGGTGAGGGGACCCCTGCATATTTACACACGATTCAAGCCAAGTACCAAATCTCTAACGCGATTACGTAGAGGAAAACATCAAACACATTAAATGCAGCTACATGCGTAGATCTTGGTCTCAGATCTTTCTTGGTTCTCCGAAAATTGACAACTTTTAGTAACAAACAAACAAACAAAAACAGAAAACTTTCCACCTTCAGAGTTGAGGGGCACCACGAAAAGACCCCAATCGATTTCACCTGTACCCTCAGCCCTGAGCAGTTGGGCCGGTGAGCGCACCGAGCAGGTAGACGGACCCACAGACATCGCACCCTCAAATTGCCTTCTGTAAACTCAAAGCAGCTGAGTGTCTGCCCCAGGGGGCTCTTTCTTTGGCGTCGCGTATGCTTTCTCCGGGCAGCAAGGGCGGCGCCCACACTCGGCATCCGGGGCAGTTTTTGGACCTGCCCAGACCCGCCTCCGGGAAAGCGGCGGCTCTGCCCAGAGCTGCCCGCCCACGAGCGGCTCCTTAGCGTGCTCAGTATTCGGTTTTAGGGGCAGGATCAGTATCGCACGGGTCAGCTGCAGCTTCGTTCTGCAGGTCCAAAGCCACGGCTCCGCCCATCGCCGCCCCCTGCCTGGCCCCCCCCCCCCGAGTCGGAGGCCCCACCCCTGCGACGAGGCCACGCCCAACACCCCCCACCTCCACCCCGCGCGCGCGCTCTCCTCTGACCCGCCGAGGACCTGTTGTCTCCACTCGCCCCTCCCTTTCGCCCCCCGGATCCAGCCTCATTCCCTTGCCTTTGTCGGGGTCCCGGCAGGGACAGGTCGGTGGGGCCAGGCCAGGCAGGACATTCGCAAATGCCCTTCCTTCCTCTCCCTCTGCGAGACTCTCCCCACCCCGAGCCCTGCCCAGTCTTAAACCTCGCGGACGGCTCCCCTGAGTGTGGATGACAGGCACCTTCCCCCAAACAGATCCACAAAGACAAAAGTGCGTGCGTATCAGACCCGTTCGTTCCCTAGTGACTCCCAGTATGAGATTGGAAGTTGGCTCCCATCGGGGGTCACCCTCACTGGCCTTCACAGGGCGCCCTCCAGCGTCCAGGTTTGGCTCATAGGACCGGGCGGGGCGGGGTGGGGTGTGTGTGTCAAAGCTTGTGTCACTCAGGTCTTTGCAAGCTAAAGTGCTACAACCCCCACGGGACTCCTTTTCTGGGCACCAGCCTTCTGCCACTGTCTCCTCTGCCCCCCCCCCACTCCAGGGGTGTGGATTTTCAGGGCGAGGGGAGGGGCTGGATGCCTCCTGGCCTCTGCCGTCCTATACAACGTTCTCTTACGATAGTAACTTGTGACTGTTCCTTTAATCCTGTCTAATGGACATTTCATTCATTCATTCGAAAACATTTAATGAGCCTCAACTGGGAGCCAAGGTCTCCTCCCCGGTGGAAGTTGTGTTCTAAATGGGAAGGCAGCTGAGCCAAGTAATCGAAGGGGACAGCCACTTCTTGCAACTGAATGGAGGCAGTTGTAGGATATTGAGAGAATAACAGGGAACCCATTCAGGCCACTCCCGGGCGGTGGCCTTTCAGTGGGACCTGAAGCTGTGCAGTTAAGGGAGGGGAGCTCCTGGCAGGAGCACAGCAGAAGCTGTCAGTCCCATCAGCTCTCTCCAAAGCACTCAGTGCACATGCTCAAAGCTGAATTTTAAAACCTACGTTCTCCCCATGCCCCGCTTCTGGTTTCCCCAGATCAGAAAGGGACGCCTCCATGCAGCTAACCGTGCACACATAAACCCAGAGGTCAACCTGGATGCCCCTTCTGCCCCCACCTCCAATCACCAAGTCCTGTGGGTTGTCCCCTGGAACCCGATGGTGTCACTCTGCTTCCATCCTGTCCTGGCGGCCATTTCTCTCCCCAGAATGGTGGAGCAGCCCCCTGCCGGCTCTCTGGTTTCCTTTGTGTGCGTCCGACCCAGGTGCACATTCTGCTGAATGATCCTTTAAAAATGCACCTTTGCTCCTGGCACGATCTTGCTTAAACTGGACACTGGCTTTCTCTTTACTGTTAGGATGAAATCTACACTCTCTAATGCACCCTACATGGGCGGCCCCCGCTCTCCTCCTGGGCTCATCTCGAACCACTTACATCCTCCCTCCCTGGGTTCTTGACACACTAACCTTCCAATTCCCTGCAAGCCGGCCCCTGGGCCTTTGCACGAGCACTTGCTCCCACTCACGGTGATCTCCTTCATCTTGCCTTCAAGTTTCATCTCCAACCTCCTGACTAGTCACATCCGAGGTGCCATGTCCCACCGCTTCACAGCCCTTTTGGTGTGGCTGTGTGATGACTGTGTGCTCATCTAAGGCTGCCTCTGGCCCCGTGGGGCAGAGGCATCTCTCCTTTGTAGCCCTGCGAACCTAGCACAGCCTGGCATGTGCTCGGGCCACAAACATGGCTGGCGATGGATGAAGGAAAGAGCGTGCTCAGGAAACCATGGCTCCCTCCCTTCCTTCACTGATCCAGCTCGCTCTCACTGGGTGGATGGGCAGGATGCACACGTCCAAAGCTAGTCAAAGTGCAGACAATCCCACGTTGGCCCCGAAGCTAAGCTGGCTGTATCCAGCCCTCCAGGGACTGAGACCAGCTTTCCTGACATCTACCCCTGGTAGCAAATGTCCTCAGGGTTGCTACCATGAAAAGGCACTTCGCAGTGGTGCAGCCACTCCAGACACCCGGACGTGCCATGAGAGGCTTCTGTCTCCGATCACCCCTCAGAAGGGCTGGGAGACCACAGGGGTCCTTCCTCTCCCATTGCAGGGAGGGGCCCAGGCACTGCAGGGCTCGTTGGTAAGTGGGGGTGACATGCTAGCAGTGGTCCTCAAACCTTCTTCTGACATAAAACTCAGGTGAAGCCCAGCATATGAAAACCGAGCCTCTCTGCCAGGAGGTAGGTGGGCGCCAGGCTCCCTGCCAGCCTCTTCCTCCTCCCTGGAACCCGGGTGAAAACCACCTCTTTACAAATATGACTAGAGCCTGGATCTTCTGATCATCCTTCCTCCCCTCACACAAGCTGTCTGGGGTCGAGGGCAGGTTTCCTAAGCAAGTCAGCTCAGGATTTTTGAAAAAAACTAGATCATTTTCTGTAATGCAACCAGGCAATGAATAGAGCAAGCTTTAGAATCTCGATAAGCCTTTGATAAAACGATTCAACTCTCAAGAATTATCCTAAGGGCCTTAAATACAGAAATGCATAAGACATAGGTACCTACAGAGATGTTCTGTCTGTCTCCATTATAAAGGCAGAACTGACGGGTCTAGGTGTGTGGCAGTGAGGGAAGGAAGGTGGCCTTTAAGAGGGATGAGAACGCACTTACGGACATGATAACAGGTGACAAAATCAAGTGACTAAATGCCGTGTACAGAAAAATCTCATTTTTGTAAAAAAAAAACCATGTAGATACATATGTAGAAAAAAAAAAGACTGAGTAGGTACCAATGTTCAATTATGAGATTATGGGACATGTTCTTTTTTGCTCACTTGTATTTTTGGGTTTTCTATAATAAATATCGCCCTTTCATAAAAACAAGAGATGACATTAGTCATGTAATATAAACTAAAGAGAGAAAAAAAATCCCACCCAGAAACCACACATGGGGATTTGGGGTTATGTAGGACGCCCCACCCCCCCGTTTGGTTCTCTCCTCACAGTGTTGGGCTGGGTGCGGGAGGGGAACCCTGGACAAGGGATAGGCAGGTGACCTGTGGGAGCCACAGGTTCTTCCTTGGCATGTACCTTGCAGGGGCACGAGAAAAGTTGAGTTTCCAAGTGGGCTCCCTTTGGCCCTCAGAGGTCACGGCCTCAGGGGACATCATAAGGACTCAAGGTCAGTGAACTCAGAGGTGTTTGTGGCTCCAACTGTGGGCAGCTTGGCCCTGCTTCCCAGAGCGCCAGCTTCTAGCAGAATGACCGTCTGCCCCCTCTTGCCTGCCCCTCAGCCAACCACCCACCATCCTCCCAGGGGACCCTGGGCCAGAATGAGTCACTCACATTTACTGGGGATCCTTCTGCACCGTGTTGTGGTTTAATCATCCACTCCTCGGTCCTGGAGGGTGGTCCTGTGACTTTTGAGTCAAACTGAAGCCCACAGAAATGCAGACCCACACTCACCCGGCAGCCTGAGCACGGAATTTGTGCTTCTGACATGTAGGAGGCCAGCCCCTCGGTCCCCTACCCAGACTCCTGGCTCAGCGTGAGGCCAATGCAGCATCACCAAGGGCTTTCTCAGTGCCTACCTGGCCCTTGCTCACGCTGGGCCAGTTGCCCTCAGCCCAGCCACTAGGCCCAGAAGCCAGCCTCCTGAATTCCTCAGAGCTGGGCCTCCCTGCCCAGCCCGGGCTGCGGGCCCACCCGGATGGGTGGTGTCCAGCTGTGCACCTGGTGTTGGGCCCAGCTGCTGGGAGGGTAGCCGGGCCATTCCAAGTGGGCTCAGGAGAAAACAAAGTCTCTAGATATGGACGATCTTTGCCCCTGCAGCCCGGGGCCAGGTCAGGGCCTGCTGGTTGGGACGTGCTTTTCTGGAGACAGGTGAGCACTTGCAGCCCAAGAGCTGCTCAGCACACTCCTCCTGTCGCCTCTCTGGCCCAGATGCTAACCAGGCGCTGGCCTCCTGTCGGAATCCCTTAAGGCTTCCGGGACAGTGGCACCGCATCACCCCATACCATGAGCACCGGGACCCTGCCCCAGCTCCGTGCTGAGGACGTGAGTGGAGTCACTGCCGCCTCACCTGGGGCTCCCCCTCATCGTCAGGGTCCTCATGCCGGCCCGAGCCGGGGAGCAGAGAGAATAAAGACAAGAGAGACCGAAGTATAGTTCAAAGGTTGCTATCTTTTTTGGTTTCCTTTTTTGCTTTTGTAAAGAAAAATAAGGTTGGATTTTTGTTTCAAAGAAAACATAAGAAAGCCCCTCCCCTGCCTCTGCTGGGGTGTTGGCTGCGCCTGGGCAGGACGGCGCAGACCGCCCAGGCCCCGAGAGGAGAAGGGTGGGCTGTACGGGGCTTCCTCAGAGCCAGAGAGGAACTGTGTTTGAGAACGGAGTTTGGCTTTGTAGGCAAAAAATAAAATTAAAAAGTCGACACACGTGCCCACTATACAAATGGGGGCCAAGAGACACCATCTCCGAGTTGGAACCATCTCTGGCAGTTGGACTAAGGGTCCTGATGTGGCCCCGGGCCCCCTGGGTCCCCATGTTCTCGGGGGAGACAGGGCAGGAAACAGCAGCTCTCGGGACAGAAGTGGGGGGAAGAGGAGAAGGGGGAGAGTCAGAGCAATCTCCTTCCCCACATGGTAAAAACAATCACTAAAAAAGCACCCAAAGCTTAAAAAAACTAAACCTCCCTGGCAGGGAGAATTGGGGGCATCCTGCTTATCAGCAAAATGCCTTACCTGGCAAAAATGTGTAGAAAAATAAAATTAAACTTTATCCCTGAATGACAGAGTGAAGACCCTTCCTCCTGCCCTCATGACCCTCCCCTCCCCTCCCCCCCAAGAAGTCTCAAAATTCACCGAGGAAACCAATTCCTCCCCGAGTGGCGCAAACACGTGCACTGACACACACACGCACCCGCACACATACACGCGCTGCCCACACCTGTGGCCGAGGCCCAGGGCAGCAGGGGCTGGGGGTTCTGATGTCCACAGGCACACGCAGTCTCTCATCCCTCACAGCATCGTGAGGGTCCCTGTGCCAGACTGAGGTCCCTCCTTCCTCCTCCCAGGGCAGGACAGGACCCCAGCACCAGGGTGGGGGGGTGGGGTGGACCTGCAGCAGGGGTCAGAAGGGCGGTGGCAGGGACCAAGGGGAGTAGGGCAGGAAAGCCAGCCAAGGTGGCCTGAGGATGAGGTCACACTCAGCCCATAGTGACAGCAAATAAAAGGGAAGAAAGTGGGGTCTCAGCGGCTGAAGGGAGCCAGGTCTACAGTGGGGCGGGGGTCCGGCCTCATCTGTGACCTACGGGCTGCCCCGGGCAGTCCCGCAGCACGTGGAGGGGCCCGGAAGCGCAGGCCTGGGGGCGCGGGGGGGCCCTGGGCAGCCTTCACAGAGCAATGGGCTGCCGCCGGGGAAGATCGCCAGAGGTAATGCAACGGGTGCACTCGGGCAGAAGGGAGCCCGGGGGAGGTGCTTATGCTAGTCCCTAGCTGGGCTCCTGAGACCCAGGGATTCTGAGGAGCCCGGGGCTGGGGACCCCAGAACCCCAGGGCCCTCCTGGGAGAGCCAGCGGCCAGGCCGGGCCTGGAGCCAACGGGAGGGGTAAGGGGGGCGGAGTGTGCCCACCCTCAAGGGGCCTGCCCAAGGGACCTGTTTCTCATCGGGCAGGGCTGAGGACAGGTGACATGGGGGCCTCCCCCCGCCTCCCCCAGGGAGCCCCAGGCGGCCGGTGGGACAGGGGTGTACAGTACTGAGATGTGGTCACAGCCCGCGGCTTGGGGTCAGGAGGCACGCGGCCCCCGCCGCCATTACAGCAATAGTGGTGTCGCTGCTGGGCCGGACCATGGGGGGGCCCTGGGGTCGTGCAGCCCCTTGGGGATCCCTGGCTTCAGGACAGCACCAAACACAACTGATGTGAGCCAAGGAGATGGGTGGAGAGGGGTGCGGCCTCACGGACCACACTCGGCCCTGCAGTCTGTCAGGTGAGGGGACAAGGCGTCCTGAGGGCAGGACTCGGTCCAGTGGGTCGAGGGCCCTGGAGAAGAGGGGGAGGCAGAGCCCCTCGGGAGGGCTCCGCGGCCGGCAGTGGCAGCAGCATGCACCTGGGCGCCGGGAGGCTGAGGGCCGCGGGTCAGCGCAGGCTCTGGTACAGGTAGGCTGAGGTGAAGAGGGCATTGGCAGCCAAGCTCACGGCCAGGAGGCCTCGGACCAGGGAGGGGCCGAAAGAACCTTCAGGAGAGAGGGAGAGACGCGGTCAAAGGCACAGAGGTGGGAAGATGAGCCTGTGGGTGGAGTCCCTGACCCGGCGAGCAGGGGCACTGTGGGGCCAAGCCCAGCGCTTCCCTGGTTCCCAGAGGCCTCTCCACCAGAGACCTCAACCTGGGGTCACCTCGTCAAGTGCCCCCTCCCTGAGGGCGCCTCCTTGCCTGAGCCACCGGGCAGGCCCTGGGCTAGGGTGTCATGCACTTGTACCTTGGTGATGGGGGTGGGGGTGCAACATCACTTTACAGACAGGAAACGGGGCTTTAAGGATGAGAGCCCTGCCCAGGCTCAGCGGTTAACCGGCTGACCGAGGTCCCGCATTCCAAGTCTGTGCTCTGGCCACGGCCCCGCTGCTGGGTCACACCCCCAGGCCCCGGGAAAGCCCCTCGTGTGCCACTCTGTCCATCTTCAACACACAGGCCCCATGCTCCCCCGGGACAGCTAAGTGCTGAGTGCTGAGCACTCGCCAGGCGCCCCGCACCTTATGCGCATCTTACGCAGAGCCGGGACTTGATCTTGTGGGGCCGGGACTGGGGCTCCGACTGGGGCCCAGGCACCCGGGCACTCCATGCAGGCCTGCAGCCCCCACACGAGCCCCCCGCACCCCTGCTCTCCAGGGCATGCCCTCCCAGGCGGTCTCTGCGAAGGCGGAAGTGTTTTTATGTCTGTGATGTCTAATAAAGCAGCCACGGGCCACACGTGGCAACGGGCACTTGAAACGTGGCTGGCACAGGAACTAAATTTTCATTGCTATTAAACTTTGTTAAAATTTAAACGGCTGCCCGTGAGGGGAGGCGGCTGTCATAGCACGATCCCAGGCCTGGATTGAGGGCGAGAAGGCTGTGAGCCTGGACCCAGAAGGTGCTGGGTGGGTTATCTAACTAACCACCCTGCCGCTTGAGGGCCCCCTTGAGGGGTCTTTCTGTCAGGGTCCCAGGCAGGCCAGGAGGCGATGGTGGCTGCAGACCCGAGCCTCCCACGCTGCCCCGCCCTCCTTCTGCACGTCGGGGCACAGACCTTTCCAGGCGGTGGCATCCTCTGAGCACCCTCTGGTGGTGGTGTCCACCACACAGGTGGACGACTGGGACGAGTCATCCTCTTTCTTGATGGAGCGGCTGCTGCAGGCGCTGCCTCTCTCCGGCACTGACCTCATGTCTGCAGAGAGAAGGGGTGTCTGAGTAGATGCTCACAGTTCATCCCCAGGGACAGACACGGGGCTGCTTCAAACCCCAGGACAGCCCTTGGACATGGCCGGTCAGCACTGTCTGTCTGTCCCAACCCGCTCACCCCACCCTGTGCAGTGGGAGCTGTTCTACATTGGGAACGGCAAACTCAAACGCCATCAGGTGCTGGCAGGTGATGGCCAGAGTGAAGCTCCTGAAGGAGGCAGGTCAATGGGGTGGGAGTGGCAGAGATGGGGACGTGGGACCTCAATCTGCCCTTCTACTTGTCTGATCAGTATTCAGGCCCAGTGTGGCCAGATCTTCTGACCTTGTAAGAGACACAGGAAATCCACACATTCATGCGAAAGCTCTAGATTTTAAAGGTTGAGGCCTAATTTAAAAAAGGTAAAAAACGCTTTGCCAAACATCATCTGAGCAAAAACGAAAATATCTGTTACCAGATGCAGCCCAGCAGGGCATCGCGCATTTCTGATCCATCCCAAGGAACAGAGGCTCCCTCAAGGTCAATTGCAAAACAGGAAAATAAAATCAGCCAACAGAGGACCATGTCCTGGAGGGTTCAAGGTCACCAGAAGCCAGGCCAGAAGTGACTGGAGCTTGGGAGGGTGGCCACACGCACTTGGATAAGATCAAGGACAGGCCCGGTGCAGCCTCTCGCCGCGTGTCCCACTGCGGCACTGATCGCGGAGGCCTACAGCCCTGCCGGGCTCCTCTGCCTCCGGGGAGGGCGGTCAGAGGGTCGTACCCACTGTGTGCTTCGTGTCCTGAACCGGCTGCCTCTGTGGGACCTGGGGTGGCTCGGTGGGGAAGAGGCTGCTGTTGTGGGGCGAGTGTTCATCTGAGCTGCTGGGGGTGCTGGGGGCCTCCCCGGGGGGCGACGGGAAGAGAAGCAGCTTCTGCCCCCTCAGGTTGAGCCGGGCAGGGCTGATGAGGGGCCTGCGGTAGCGCAGAGAGCCAGAGCTGGAGGCCACCGAGCCAGCCACGGAGGGCGCGGGGGAAGGGAGTGGGGAGGACGGACAGCTCCCGGCCCGCAGAGAGAAGTGATCTGCAGGGAGGGAGACGAAAGCAACATATTAACGCATGAACGTTTGCTATTGCTACAGCAAACTGATATGGCTATTTTGTTAATCTATTACCCAAGAAAGGAAGGCAGGGCTCTGCAGAGACAGGGGGCGGGGGGTCAGAGCAGGGAGGGGAGTGCACCCTGCCAGGCACCTGGGGGAGGGGGGAGGACCATGGAGCCTCAGCCATGTCCCCTTGGCCTCCCAGTTTCCATCCAAAGCCCTGGTACCGTCCTCTGCTGAGAGCAAGGCCCGGAGACTGAAGGTTGGGGCCTCAGAGCTCTGGACGACAGCACTGTGTCGAATCCGAGAAACTGCCACGCCCATCTGACCCCAAAGCTCAGGCTTAACCTCTCTCTGTTCCGCCCCACACAAGGCTCCGGGAAGCCCGGCCTGCACGCTGCCCCCACCCAATGCAGCCTCCCTGTCACCCCTCTCAGCTCTCTGTTCTCCTTACCTGAAAGAGGAACCTCCCCGGATCGAGACACCTGAGACGGTGGGCGGCTCCCACTGAACAGATACCCTGAGTCTAGAGGAAAGAAAGGCGACATAGGTCGGGCCTGCGGAGATGACAGCCACCTACCCTCTCCCTCTGCATGGCCTGCTCTGCTGGAATCCAGCCCGCCAGCACATCCCTGCCTCTCACCCTGGGGGACGATTAACCCCAGTCGGTTCATTTCTAAAAGAACAAACCACGAAGCAAAGTGCCCATCCCCCGCAGTCTGCCACCATCTCCTCACGGGATGGTTAGCCAAAGGCTCCGGCAGGGCCTGCACCCACCCTGGGCACAAACCCGCTGCACCTCCACCCCGAAGGCCTAAGACTCTGTGTCCGGCTCCTGGGCCTCCCAGGTCCCGAGTCTAGGGTGCTCCACGGTACCCCTGCTCTACCTGCTGCTCACCAAGGGCCCGGAGGCCTAACAGAACCGGGGCCTGCACTGGGCCAGGGCTCAGCTGTGAGTCACCTGCCACGGGCAGGGCTCGGGGATTCTGCTTACTAACGATTTCCTGGCGGGAGGACAGGCAGCAGCCCCTCCCTCCTGGCAACCCGGCCACGTGTGGTTACATAGGAACACTCGGAGTCTGGGTCCCTGTGCGTGGGGTGATCACACCTCCGGTCCCCCCGAAGGCCTCGAACCTCATCTACCATCAGCTGAATATCGTGTCCTCTCGTGAGCCATCCCTCCTGCAGCGTGACCCACCCTCTACCTAGGAGGACACCCACCTACGCACACGGGGCGAGAAGTCTGAGCGAGGCTCAAACCCCACCTCCTAGCACAGCGGGACGCCGGGCACGTCACAGGAGGAAACTGAGGCTCAGAGCGCCTGGCTGAGCTGCAGCTCCCACTTGGCAGAGCTGCCGAGGGGCTTAGACGAGTCAGTGACTGCATGTCAGCAAGCCCGGCGTAGCTAAGCCGTGCCCATATTCTCAGGGGACGGGGTCCTGCCCAGCAGCCCCAGCACCAGGCCTGGGACCCAGGGAGCCCGCCCCAGGCCCCCCAAGGGTGAGGAAAAGCTACCGCGCAGCGGCTTCCCCACTGAGGACGATCGTCACAGAGCACGCGCAGGCCTCTAAGGTAGGAAAAACGGGGTTCGGTCGAGTTTCCAGAAAGACCCTGCCGGGAAATTTCAGTGAGGGATGAGACAAAGTCTCTTGTGACAGAGACCAGGTCTCGGTCACGCAGGGTCCACATGCGGCAAGGGCTCAGTAAACATGGCTGACCTGAACTGAACCCCTGTCCTCTGGACCACACAGAGAGGCGGGGGTCGAAAACCACAGCAGCGATAAGGGCAAAGCGGTGGGAGAGAGAAACCCAGAGCGAGGACATTTACGAGTGGCCAACGTGCCACCCTCCAGAGCACCTTAAACGCGTCACCTCACTAACCCTCACAGCCCCCCCAAGGCAGGGTCTCCTACTACTGGCTTCACTGCTTGTGAGGGAAACTGGTTCAGAGTGGCTAAGTCCCTCGGCCAAGGGCGGCGGCTGGTCCTGCCTGTTCCCGACCCCGTCCCGCACCGCCTCCCAGCCCGTGCCCAGCGGCCGGCCGCCCTGTCCGCCACGCCCCAGCGCCTCTTACCTGCGCGGGTCAGAGAGGGTATGGTTCCCAGCGAGAGGGCCCGGCTGAGGCGGCCGGGCAGAGAGGAGGGTGAGGCCCGTCGGGGAGACCGGAACAGCTGCTGGTTGGCGAGTGGCAGGAAGCCAGGTGGGGTGGGGATGAACAGAGATGGTGAGGAGCCTGCGACACTGGAGCAGGGGATGGCCAGGCTGGGATAAGTGGGGAAAAGGCTGGCAGAGTCTCCTGGGAAGTACCTGTGAGAGCCACGGGCCGGGGGGAAGAGGCAGGTCAGCCTGGGGGGCTCTGAGGCAGCCTCCGCCCAGCTGTCTGTCCTCCCTCCCCCAGTGCAAGGTGGGCCCTGAGTCGGGGTCCCAGAGGAGGCGTGCGTTAGTTGAAGCTGAAAAGCAGTTTGACCACATTCACACCATTAGGACCAGGTGGCCGGGAGGTGTCAGCGAGACCCCCCTCCCTGCATGCCCCTTCCGATCTCCCTCAGCCTCACAGCAAACTAGTTCCACTACAAGTCTCGGTATTAAAGTGACACTGTCACCCTTGCCAACCTCATGCCAATCCTTCGCCCCACCCCACACCAGGCTCTCAGTAAAGGCTGTGGCCTTCGGCTCCCCTCTGCCCTTTCCTGCTTGTGCCCACAGCCCTGGGGCAGCGGCCGCGCTTGGAGAGTCCCCTGCTCCCTGGGGACCGACTCCAGGAGTCCCAGCGCTGCTCGCTGGCCTCTGACACCAGACACTAATCTAAAGCCGCTGGTAGAGCAGGGGGGAGGTGGCCGGGCTTGGGATCTCCGGGGAGAGGAAAGCGGGACACAAGCCAGACTTGAACTGAGAAAACACCCGTGAGTGATCGCAAGGCTGTCCCCCAAAGACGGATAGTGACAGTGTCTCTTTAACTCGAGAGTGGTACAAATCACACGATAGGACCTGGTGGCCCCAAGCCAGAATGTCAACCATGCTTCTGATTAAGGCAACCGATTACAGAGGGGGAGGGGCAGAGACAGTTAATGTATTAGTCCGCCCACTGTCTGGACGGAGCTGCAGGAAGTCCAGCCTTACCTCGGTCCCAAGGGACAAAAGAGCCCATAAACAATGTGTCGATGGACAGCAAGGCTAGCTCAGGCCCTGCGGCAGAGCTGGGGCGGCTAGGGGACATCCCCCCACCCTGTGCTCATCTCGACTGAACACTCGGGGTACCGCCGGCCGAGCCGCACTCCCCCGAGTTCCCTGATATTTCCACCATGCTCCTCCCTTTGAACCAGCTTTATGGGGTCAGTGTGGGGTTGGTGTCACCCGCTTGGAGATCTAAGACCTTTTTACTGCCTTCCAAAGGGCCAGGCCACATGGACTTCAGAAGCAAAGGCAGCCTCAGTGTTTGGACAACATGGAAAATCAAGGAAGGAGCTCATCAAGCCAATCTGCTGATGCCCATCTGACACCCACCTCCTTGCCCCCGAGACACCTGGGGAAGGCCCCATCTCTAAATAGAAGACACGATTTTGTGGTGTCGCTTTAGAACTACCATGCCATATTTGGCAGGGCAGTGTGTGTGTGTGTGTGTGTGTGTGTGTGTGTGTGTGGGGTTAGCCTTAGGCACTACAGGGGCTGTAAACACGCGAGACCTTTGGTCAGCCTGCTCTGATCACGCATGGAGCTGTCCCCTGCTGGGGGCCTGTGCCTCCTAGAGGACCCAGGTCTGTCCCATGGAGCAGCAGCCTCACAAGAGCAGGGTGACCAGCCCCTTCTAGCAGGTGGCAGCAGGACTCTGCACCCACCCCCACCAGGCAGCCCTCCGGAGGACCACCCCTGGGAAGCAGCAAGTGAGGACAGGGTCTGAGCTGGGCTGCGGGTGTCAGAGGTGGTCAGCTGGCCCAGGACGAGCTGGCTCTTGCTGGCCTTTCCCCACTTCTCCCAGATCCCGCTCACAGCCGCAGCCGCCCCGCACTGAAAACCCGAGTCTCACGTCCACCTGGCACAGGTGGGTTCCCAATTTGGTGCCACTAAAAATAATGGTACTGAGGGGAAGAGTTCTTCAACCTGACCCCTCTTGCTGGGACACCCAGTGACATCACTTGACTAGCTGATCCTTGTAAAGTGCCAAGTGCGAGCTCTGGCCGTGACGCTGAAGATGGTCCCCTGGGAGCCCCGTTACAGGAGCCGGATCTCTGCTGGCTCCAGAGCTCTAAATGTCTCAACGCTCCCCTTGGCGAGGCCCCCAGGCTACCCTGCACCCTCGAACCCCATCTCAAATAGGCATTCAGCCCAGAATCCCAAGTCCACTGGATAAAAGGGTCTGAGGAGGAGATGGGTGGCTGTCCAGTGTCCCATCCGACAGTGGGAAGGATGTTTGGTCTTTCCAACCAAATCCTAGTTCCAGCTGGGAGCAGAAGGAACAAGGACTGTTTAAGTGGCAGTTTATTGAGGTGGGGAAAAACATCACCCAGCACGGTACACGAAGACAGCTAGATCCTGAGCCATTCAATGCCCACGTCGCCAACTCCCAAATCTGACTCCTGTGGGCACGCCTGCACCCCAAAGTCCCCGCCCCTGGCAGAGAAGTCTCTGAAGGAACGTGAAAGAAAAAACAAAAAAGACATGGTACCTGACGCCCACCGGTAAAAGCAGGGCCCCGGAGGCATTTATTTAAATACAGCATCAAACACATAGCATCTATGGCCAGGAGCTGTGGTTACAGTGATTAGAGGATCACTACACAATCATCCACAGTTCTACTACATGACCAGAGAGAAGACGAGACACTTAGCAACAGTCACAGACAGAAGGGACACAGGCTCCTCCCCAGGCGGGTGCGTCGAGGCAGTTTGCTCCTGTCCAGGTGTTACTGGAGGAGCCTGCTTGGCCCAGGGTGGAGGCCCCAGACCCAGGGGGAGATCTGTAGCCACGTGTATCTCCCTCGCATCTTGGGGACAGTCACCCTGATCCTGGATGGCCTGACAGTCGCTCCCAGGGGAGGGGAAAGAGGTCCCTGACGGGTGACACGTTCCCAGTTAATAGGCCATGATCCCAGCGGTGCCTGCACATCCTCGGCTGTTGCCAATAACATGAGAAGGTGCTGAAATGCTCTCAGTGATGGAACTTTAAGGGACAAATGGGTAATTTAAAAAAGTCACACAAAACTCTAAAAAGGCCAGGAAGCCTTTGTCTGAGGAGGTTCGCCTCGTGAGGGAGCCTCCCATCCCCGCTGGAGAGCGGGAAAGACACCTGCTCAGCAGGGGCTCTGGCCAGCAGGAGAGCTGGTTAAGGTTATTATAAATAATTTAAGTTAAAGACATACACACGTACACACAGATGGCCTGCTTCTACTCAACGCCAAGAAAAGCAGCCATGAGCATCGCGCTGCCAGTCTCGAGAACGGGAGACCACAGAGACGCACGGCTGACAGACCACTGGCTCTCCACCTGGGACTGCTGCCCCTTCTCCCCACGGCAGGTGGACTGGGGTGAAGGGACAGGGAGGTGCTCCCCAGCCCCGCAGGCAGACAGCCGCTGGGGCTGGGCCCTGGTTCCAGCACCCCACTCCTTGCTGCACCCCATCAGGCGGGGCCTGTCCGGGGTCACGCAGCTCACGGGGCAGCTCCCGACCCACCTAGGCACTGCAGACGAGGACGCTGAGTAGGGCCCAGGACCACTTGGGCCATGGGAGGCGGGGGGGGTGGGGGAGGGGGCCGCTCTTACAGCCCAGTGAGTGTGAGGGTTAGAGTTGGGGGGGCTCAGGGCAGCTCTCAGTGCTCTCTGGGGCTACCTGGGGCCTGGCCAGTACACTGACCCGCCTGCTCCTCAGGTCCGGTTACTCGGTGGCTCCCCGCGGAGTGTGGCCCTCATGCATGTGTCATGTTTCTGCCTTCCTTGGGCTCTGATGGGCGCAGTGGGAAGGCTGGCACACTTGGGCCACACCTGGAGGGAGGCTTAGGTTCAGAGTGACCAACGGCAGGACATGGGCCCTGGAGGGAGTGTTTAGCCCGCTCTGGGGTCGTCAGAGCATAGAACACCAGGCAGGGGACGGCCTTGGTCCAGCCTCCTGCCGTGACCCTTAAAGGCAGCCCCGGGACCAAGAACTTCCTCCTGGGGACAGCATCTCCATTTCCAGAATGTGTCTACACAGTGGTCAGCACTCAAGGGTCCTAGAAAGGGGTTTCTCTCATCTCGCAGATGGTAAACTGAGGCTGAGAACGGCAGGGACCTATGGGACCACACAGCTAATGAGTTAACAGGTCTGTGCCACACACCAGCCCTGTCTCCTGGAGCGGTGACTCTGGGAGCAGACAGCGCCTCCCTTGTGGGGCTCTGGGTTGTCACTGGCTCTGCTCTCCCACCTGGCCCAGGCAGAGTGACGCTGCGGCCCAGTGGGCTCCGTGGCTGCCCTTGCATGGAAAGCAGGCGCCTCAGCACGCTCTGTGAGGGCCTCCAGGGGCAAGAGTAGTGATACTGACCAGCCAGAGACGCGAAGTGACAAATGACCTGGTATTGTTGTGGACCTACATGTGCCTTGGGCCACTTACCTCATGCTAACTTTAGTCAATTAGATCTTTTCCCCGCAATCTCATGAGGGGAGTGAGTGCAGGAAGCTGGGGACGCCCCAGGCATTGGGGGGTCGGAGGTGGCAAGGCCAATGAGAGCCATTCAGGCTCCGCACTGCCAGCCAGATAGGGTGGCCTTAGCTCGGGAAGCCTGGACCCGAGTCCCTGCAGGGGCGTATGGAGGGGCCAGCTGTAGGGTCCTGCCTTTCCGGGGCAAAGACAGGGGATTTCAAGAGTGTGGGTGGGGCATGCATGACCCAGTTCTGTCTGGCTCACAGTAGTACCAAAAAAAATAAAGGACAGACTGTTCAGACCCCCTCATCATGGGCAAACTCTCGCCACAACCTGTTGAGAAGAAATTTGCTGACCCTAAAAAAGCAGACTTTTCTACTACCCACCTTTAGAAGGGCCTCGGCCCACAAACTCATGGCCAAGTCCAGTCTGGGCCCAAGAACCGCACCCTCCGTTCCCAGGGCAGGAGGCTGAGGGATAGCGGGGTCTCAGGAAGGTCTCGGAGCAGGAACTGAGCAGTGGATCCGGGGGGCAGCCCAGGCAATGAGTCGAAAGGACAGACCGGAGAAGTGATGTGGGGAAGAGGGGGTGGGGGGGCTCTCCTCTGGCCCCCGCTCAGCAGCACCTGCCTGTATCAAGCTGCCTGAGTGCTCAGGCCATGCGGCAAGGGCCAGCCTAGAGCCAGTCACCAGCCTGCGTCGGGGACTCAGAAATGGGGCAGGTTAAGAAGAGAAGCAAAGATCAGGCCCACAACCTTCATCCCACGGGTCAGAGCCAGATGAAGACCCACCAGCCAGGATGGGGGTGCCTAGAGCTACCAGCAGGAAGCCATAGGTCACAGGCAGGCTGTGTGTGTGTGACCCATGCTCTGGCCTCGGGGCAGTAAGGTCTTAGGCCAGAAAGGTGGTGGCACTGGTGAAAAGCTAGAGAGCACTCAGGAAGTGCCTTAGGTTGGGGGACGGCTTATTGGTGCTGGAAAGGGAGAGGCGGGGGAACAGGCTCAACTCCTCAGGGAAGTAGAGGGGCTGGACCAGGACTGGGGGCTCTAGGCTGGGCAGGGGTGAGAGTGAGGCAGGTAAGAAAGATGCAAGACAGAGCGGTGCCCTGCTCTGGGCCTGTCCGTCCGTCTGTCCTCCCCCCGCAGTCACTGCCGCTTCTCTGACCTTCGGGGCCGGAACCTCCGGGGACCTGTCGCCTTCCTCGTGGCCACAGCTGCCGTGAAGCCCACCAGGCAGCACAGGGACATAGTGCTGAACTTGAGGGTGTCCAGCCAGCTGGGTGAGTCAGCCTGCAGGTACTGCTCGGCCAGGTGCAGCGCCAGCAGCAGGGCCCACAGGCAGGCGGAGAAGGCGTCAACCCTCCGGAGCCTGCGGGGAGATCGGGAGCGGAGTAAGAGTCCATCTCGGCAGGACGAGACTCCTCCATGTCCTGTCACTTCCTGCCTCCTTCATCCACCTGGGCCCTGCTCAAAGGACCTGATCCAAGGCCAAGAAATGTGAGAGGGCCTCGGTCCCGCCTCCAGCAGCTGCACGCTGCGCAACTGAGCCTCAGGGTTCCAGCCTGTACAACTGGGCTAAGACCCCCTACCCCGGTCACTGGGTCCAGAGACCCCGTCCGCCCTCCCCGGTCACTGAGATGAGGTGGACACCACTGGGTACAGGCGCTGTGACTGCGTTGGGAGGGAGCGCAAGGCCCCAGAGCCAACAGTCAGTGAGGTGGGCGGTTACTGGCGCTCCGACTGCAGATGGGGAGGCTGAGGCGGAGTAAAGCAGGGTGACTTGGCCCTGGGGGCCCCGGCACGCAGGGGTGAGTCCTGCTGGGTGCCGCTGCCCCCGCTACACGAGTCACTTGCTTAGCCTCGCCCACTGGACCCCCAGCTGCCGGGGAAGAGGGGCGCACCTTGTCTCAGTGACGCGGCGGAGCTAGCCCAGGGCTGTGCGCCCCGCCCCGCAGGCCCTCCTGGCTCCAGCCCCAGAGGCTTCCCCCAGAGTCCGCCCCAGGCAGTAACCAGTGACCCAGGGGCAGACCCCTGTCCCGCCTGGTCCCACACGCACCTGATGCGGCCGGCCAGCAGCATGGCCAGCAGGCAGGTGAGAAGGCCCAGTGCTACGATGCCCGTCTGGTGGCTCTGCCCGAAGGCCCAGGCCTCCCGCAGCTTCTCTGTCATGTGCTCTGGCAGAAGGTCCAGCAGCTGCCGCCAGCCCTCGGCCCCAGTGGCAGTGCCGTTGTCAGGAGTGGCTGAACCATTGCCACTAGGTGGCAAAGCTGGGGGCAGGGTGACCCCAAGGGTAAAGGGGTCACTGGTGCCATACAGCGCGGTGGCCACCAGGAAGGCACAGGCCAGGAAGGCAAGGGCACGGAGCATGATGACCTGGACCGGGGCCTTCACCGCGGACGAGCAGAAGCTCTGAGGGAGGGAGAGACTGGTCAGTGCGATGGCCAGAGCCACCGACAGGCATTCTCAGGCCCACCTAGTGTGCGGGCGTCTGGCCAGGGAGCCGCGGCACTCCCTGGAGAACGCGGCCGGGTCCTGTCGACCAGAGGTGCCGTCTTCGCTGTGCCCTCAATTCTCAGACAGTCTCGGCTATCCCTAGGCTTACGCTGAGCCCCGCTTCCGGGCCCTCGCCCCGCTGTGAGTCACTGTGTGAGGAGGGGTCTACCGCATTCTTTAGAGAAATCTTTCTGATGTGTCGGTGACCTTATTCTTTCAAATAAGATTTTCAATCATTTTGTCAAACTGTCATCAAAAATTCTTCTTATGATTTTAACTGGAATGCTAATAAATATATAAGTGACCCTGGCTAAAGTTACATTACAAAAATACAGACGGCAGTGAGCTGTTCTGTCTGGAACGTGATGGTGAGGAGGAAACTAAACACCCGGGTATCCTGCTGTGTGCGCACGGGCATGTGGGCGGGCGGCGTGGCGTGTGGTCGGAGGCCCAGCCACAGACGGAAACCACGTGCCAACTGGACACGGCACATCTGGGGACCCGAGGGGGTAGGCAGAAATTTCTTGGGGGAGGGGGTGATTTTTACTTCTAGATCCACTTGCTACTATTATCCGATTTTAAAAAACAGAATATTTCATTAACTGAATACTGTGATAAAAAATTAATGAGTTTTAGCCAGATGGTCCTGGGTTCAAATCCTGGTGCCTCTGAAAGTTACTTCACCTCCCTGTTCGGTTCCCACGCTGTAAACGGGAGTCGCAGGGCACATGAGCATACCCGCCACAAAAGCTGCCGGGAGGAACCAATGCCAAGTGTGGGGAACGCGCCCCAACGCAGCAAGGCAACTCAAAACCCTGGTCAAGTACGCACGTGACGAGTGGATCCTGCTACTGAGCCACGGTCCACAGGACACCCACTCTGGCTGGTGACATGAAAGGGCCTGGGGACAGAGTGGGCATGTGGACCCATGGGAAGGCTGTTTCCCTTGGGAGAAAGGTCTCAGCTCTGGAGAGCTGCCCTCCAGTCACTGGGGCCCGGCCCTCAAAGAAGGGGTTTCCTGCACAAGCTCAAGGGCTGCGACGCCCCGAATGCCCCGTAGGCACCCCGTGCAGACCTGTGTGTGGCTCTGGTCTGCCTCCCGGCGCCTGAACTGGTGGCTGAGCAGCAGGGCACGCAGCTGGCGGTTCTGGTGCTTGATGTAGTGCTCCACGGCCGCCTGGCACGGCCGGCACAGCTTGTACATCTGCTCCAGGTGGTGCCGATACACCTCGATCTCCTCGTCGTACCTGCCCTGGGAGTTGAGGGGGGACAGAGGCTCAGGGTCTTTGGGTCGACTGAGGTCGAACCTGAGTTCACTTACAAGTGGGGTGACCATAGCGAGTCGTTCCCACTCTGATCCTGCTTCCTCCACTGCCCAGTGGGACAAACAGCCCACTGAGCATGGTGACACTGGCTACTAGGAGTAAGGGCTGGCCCAGAGCCTGGGACACAGCAGGTGAGGGGAGACACGCTAGCCCAGTTCTCACTCCAGGGGATCCCCCTGGAGGCCTGGAGCTCGAAATGTGGTCCTGCTCCAGGCCCTGCTCCTGGACGTGGGCTCCAGGAAGGCGGTGTGCCACGGAGAAGGTGGCACTGGGCTGACGCAGCCTGAACTCGGGCACACGTCCAACCCTGAAGCAGAGCCTTCCCTCCCTTAAACCCAAGGATCTGGAAGGCTCTAGAGAGCCACTGGCTGGGCCAGGGTCTTAGGGGGAGCTGCAGGGTCCCTGGGGCTTTAACAAGAGCCCAGAAGGGATGAGTCCCAGCACCCCTCCTCCTAGGGATACAGTGATGCTCCTCTCCTTCCCCATTTCCGGGGCAGCCGAATGCCTCAGTCTGCAGTGGCCAGGACGGATATCAGTTTGATCTCCTCTTGCTGGGACCAAAATGCCAGAGAAGCCGCCCTGGTTGCCAAGTCACACATGCCTTCCCTTCTTTCTGCAAATTCCCCATCTCCCCCTGCCTGGCCCTCCCTCCCTCCCAGTCTGCGCCTTGGGAAAGCCAGCATCTCTGGGTCTCAGCTCCTGAGGTCACAACCACTGGACTAGGCAAGGTCTGGCGGTGGGAAGGCAGGATTCGCTAGATGATAAGGCCTCTGGGATCCATGGCGGGGCCGGAAGGTGAACTCCTAACACCCAGCCGCTCAGCAGTGTATATCTTCCTTCCTCTCCCAGAAGCCAAGAGTGTCCATTACCAACTAGAGCAAACTGCCCGGGCAGCCAGTGGGCAAGCCTGACTCAGAGACAGACAGGTTGGGCCCAATAGGGCCCCAGCTGGAACTACCTCCCTCTGCCCAGGGATGAACTCCCCTTGGACTGGCTGGCGCTGACACCTGTACGATGCTCCCAGGCCTGGAGCCAAGAGCAGAGGGACCGTGAGAAAGAGGGAGCACAGGAAGCATGGTCCTAGTGAGACGGAAGATAACACACCCAGAACGAGGGGCCAGCACAGGGTCAGGGTGAGGAGGGGGCCCTGCGAGTATTCAGGACGGGAAAGCCACTGTCTGGAGAGCCCTGTGCATGCCTCCCCCAGAATCTTCTAAAGCAGCAGTCCTCAGCCTTTCTGGCACCAGGGACCCAGGCTCCTAGGAGAATCTAATGCCTGATGACCTCAGGTGGAGCTGAGGCGGTGATGCTGGGCTGGGGAGCGGCTGTAGATCCAGATGACGCTTCGTTAGCTCTCCTCCTGCTGTGTGGCTTGGTTTCTAACAGGCCACGGGCCAGTACCAGTCTGTGGCCCGGGGTTTGGGGACCCCTGCTCTAAAGAACCCCCAGCCTCACCTCATCACGCGGTGCGAAGGCGGCCAGCTGCTTGATCTTGGTGGTCTGGTGGTGGCTGCACCTCCTACACAGTAGCACCTGGCTGCTCACCCATTGCTGGGGCTGTGTGGGGGCACCGGGGTTGGGTGCGCTGCTCACCACGTGGTTCAGGTGCTCCATATACTGGGCAGGGATCGGCTTGTTGTAGTCACCATTCTAGGGAAGGAGGGGGTCACGAGTCAGTGCGGGAGCCTCAACCCCAGTGAATCTCCCCAGTGGCTCAGGCTTGGTGACAGGGCAGAAGCCCCGAGCGGCGACACTCTAGAAAGTGGTGGTGGATCTCAAGCATCTCCTCCTGTCTTTCTTTACATGTGACAATTAGCAAAAGCTTGTCTTCCAAAAAAACTACACAAAACCCCCCTGACAGGCAAGGTGCTGAGAGCACAGCCCTCATCTGGGACCTCAGGCTGGAACCGTGGTCTGGTGCAGGGGTCTGCAGCCTAGGGCCTATGGGCTGGCCTCTCGGGTTCGAGAAGTTCTCTGGGACCACAGCCACGTGCACTCGTTTACATGTTGTGCGTGGTGGCTCAGCAAGCCGAGCGGCGGGAGCCGTGCCTAGAAAGCCTGAGATGCCCTCTGCAGAAAGCCTGCCGACCCGCCACCTAGCGCAAAGCAGAGTGGGTGAGCCAGAAAGCTCTGGGTTTGAACCCCCATCTGCCAAAGCGGGGTGACTTTGGACAAGGCACCTGGGCTCCCTGAGCCTGTTTCCTCGCCCTCAGAGGAGGGGTGCAGGGCGGTGAGGCGGGGGCCTGCCCCAGGGCCGGGCCAGGCAGGGGGGTGGCCGCACCTCCTGGAAGCCGTTGTACTGCTCGCAGTGTGGGCAGTCCCAGCAGTTGCGGTTCCCGTAGGGCACCACCGTGTCCTGGCTGCAGAACCAGCAGTTGACCGTGGTGTGTGTTGGCTTCGTCCTGTGGACAAGGAAAGAGAAGAGGCAGCGGGAGACCCGGCGGGCTGGGCAAGGGCCCTGTCTGGACGTTCTGCATCTGCTGGGAGGACCAGCAAGGGGGCCACGCTGGCTCAGGCTTCTCAGCCCCCCGGCAAAGCTCCCGGCCTGAGCTGGGGAACAGCTGGAGACCCACCATATCCCTTGGCTCCAGCACGCCCATGAGGCGACCCAGGGCCACCTGCCCCTGGTGTCCTGGGGCTCAGGCATGGGGGCACCGGGCCCCAGGCTGGACAGGCCACAGGGCAGACAGGGACCAGACTCCAGGACCTCTCCTCTCCCCACGAGGCTGGCTCCTACACTGCAGAGTGGTGCTCTTGGGGAGCCTGCAGGTGGAAGGAGCCTCCTGTGCTCCACAGAAGTCCCCAGGGCTGAGGGCCAGGGAGGCTGGGGAAGCAGAGACAGCTGCCTGGCTTGCAGCTGGCCAGCCCTCCTCAGTAGAGGGAAGAGTGCGGACAGGCCACAGTGGCCTTGCTGACCACACATGTGGTGACAGGTGAGGTCTACAGGATAATCCTAGCCCAGACACTAGGGGATCTGTGCTCCGGGGCCCTCCATCTACCTCATTGGCTGTGGGGTGTGGCAACTGCCCAACAAATCCCTCCAGTCCTAGGAATCTAGACACAATGTGACAGTAACAGGTGGCAGCTGCTTGAGCCCCAGGGTCCTGGCCTTACCACTCCTGCTCCCCTGCCCTCCCCCAGAGGCCACCTCCTGCTTTGGGGCTGCTGCCTGGACCCCTGCTGCAGTGGGCGGCCATGCCGCACAGACAACCCTGCTGTCCAGAGGCAGCACAGCCCCCAGCTACCAGGGGCCAGAGTTTCCGGCTCTGCCACCTTCTAGCCGTGTGCCCAGCCTCCTCTCCAGCCTCGGCCCGAGTCTGCAAAGGGTGAGATCACGACACCCATGGCATCGCGCGTTACAAGGATCAAGCGACGTAAAGGTGCTCCGCAATGTGAAAGGCCAGCTCTGTCACTATCCTGTCCCTTGGGAGCAGAGTCCCTACTCCAGACATGGCAGCTGCCTCCTGGCCTTGCCCCTCCACTGATCACGGACAGAACTTACGAGAATTTGCCAAGACTCAGTCTTATCATCTATCGACTGGGGATAAGAACATTGCCCTCCCAGGGGGCCACATGTGACAAGTGCTTGACAGTGCTCAGCCTCAGTGCCCAGTAAATGGTAGCTACACGGGGAAGGCAGAGGGAGGTGGCGGCTCAGGGAAATGCTGCCCCATAAGCGCCCCTCAACCTACTTCTCTCCCAAGCCAGAGGGGGCAGACAGAGGTGCCAGAACCAGGAGACCCACAGAGGGCACCTGGATTGCCCCCTGCGGCCGCAGCCTCACGCCCCTGCCCCAGCTCGGCCTTGTCCTCACAATGGACAAGGACAAGAGACTGTTACATCTTGTCAAAAGCACAGGGCCAGAGGGCCCGGCCTGGAAAGAGGAGCGTCAGGCAGCATGGCACCGTGGTCACAGTGTGGCCTTTGGAGAATGTCATCCACTTCACTCATTCATCTGGCCAGTGGGGACAGCGATAATCCCTGTCCCAAAGAGAGGCTGCTGAGAGGATCAAACGGGAGAATTAGGAAAGTGCTGAGCCTGGCAGGTGGCAGCGCAGCCAAAGCCGGAGGTGTGGACGCTGCTGCAGAGATGCCAGCACTTGGCATCCCCGGGCAATGAAGCACAGGCTCTCTCTTTGTTAATTTGTACCTGCTTTACAGGCTTCTTTGTAATTGCACACAGCGAATCCTAGTGGGTGAGGATGCAGGCTGGTAACCTCTCTCATCTGCCCCCTGGGCCCTTCCAGCCTCACAAAGGGCCCTTCAAGCCCCTTCACCCGAGAACCCCACCCCACCACACCTGGCCTCTGGACAGAAGCCAAGCAGAAGAATGGGAGCCCATGAAAGAAGAGACCGGGAAGGAGACAAAAACACTGGCCCCGGGGAACACTGGCCAGCACGCAGGAACTGCTGCTTTGGTCCAGGGAGCCGGCCACACAGCCCCTCCCACCCCAGGAAGTCACCAGTTGCACTCTGAATGTCAGGCTCTGTTGCTAGGGAAATGAGCCTGCCTGGAAGCCAGTGGCAGCAGGGGGTGGGATCAGCCCCGGTCCCTGGGGTGGCTGGCTCCAGCTTGTCACTCTCAGCCCTTGGTAATCTCTGCTCAGTGTTGGGGGTGGTGGCCCCCCTCGTGGCCAGAGCACCTGCGGCCTTGGCCAGGCAGGGGTCCAAGGTCAGGGAGGCCGCAGCTCCTCTGGGGGGAGGGAGGCCTGCAAGGCTCTGCAGGCCTGTGAGCGGCAGTGGACTTGCAAAACCACGGCGGGCTAGGTGCAAACCTCAGCCCGCCATGCATCAGCACTGGGCCTCCCGTGCGTTAGACATGTGGGCCAACGCCAGACGTGCCTGGGAAGGATGCACCTGACAGCTTCCACGGCTGGCCCTGCACCCACGTCCACCTGGCCTGACACAGGAACGCTTCCAATCTATTCTGAGCCAGCTTAGCCCAGGCCCTGCTCTTGCTCAGGAAAAATGCCCCCCAGCTCCCTTCAAAACCCCTCAATGCACTTCTCCAAGCCAAAACCTCTGCCCCCGCAGGACCCTGGGACAAACTATTCTTAGTGGTGGACAAGGTCTGATGTGAGAAGAGAGAATATCCCTTGACAGAGAGTTAAGATGGGCCTGGAGAGACCCCCTCAGGAGGCAGCCTGGCCCCAGCAGGTGGGCAGACGGGAGGCCTGGAAGGTGCTCGTCCAGCTCCCACCACCCTTGTGCTGACTCTGCTGGGGCCGGAGGAGGCCTGAGGAGGTCAAGAGCAGGGGGCCCTCGGGAGGAGCCAGGGGCAGCGGCATGCCCTGGACCCAGTCCTCCACAAGTCCCGAACACACTCTCGGGAAAAACGATGAACACGTGTCCTTAACAACAGAATCACTCCTTCGGTCCTGAACACAGACGTTTGACTAAAACAAAGCTGAAGCCCTGACAGCATCTCCTATAGCTGGCGTGTGCATGTGTGTGCATGCACGTGTGTTCTAGGAGTGAGGCCACCACTCTGAGGGCTGCGGCTCCAGACCCTAGGCCCAGGATCCTGCCAGGGGTCGGGCACGTGCTGCAAGCCCAGTGCTGTGCACACGGAGGACACACTGGGTGGGGCTCAGTCTCTGTCTGGGGGAAGCCAGTTTTCGCCAGGCCCTGAGAAGTGCCCAGCCTCCCCCAATGGGCCTGGCGCATTGCTTGTGACCTGGGCACCGTGTTCTGGCCCGGTGGGGTCTGGAAGATGATCCCTCTGGTCAGCGTCTGGCGGGGATCCAGGAGGACATCCAGGACGTCCTAGATGTCCTAGATGGGCCCTTAGGTGGCTACTTGCTTGCTCCTGTGTCTTAAGTGGGCAACACACGTTGTCCTATCCAGCTGCGAGAATCCGAGAAGGTGCCTCCTGGGCTGCAGTGACAGCGACACCGAGATGCCAGGACCCAACGGGCCTCCAGCCCTTTGCCTTTAGGTCCAGACAGAACACACTTGAGTCTACACCGAGACAGCCCCCAACCCCACCTCTCTGGGGCACGCCTGGCCTGAGGTGTGTACACACCGCCCCCCTTCCCATTCACCTCAGTGCGACCATGTTACTGAGCTAGGCTTACAGAGAGGCAGCAATAAGCAAACTCTGCACTTCCGACTGGGACACAAGGACAAGAACAACAACCTCACAGGGCAGCTGGTGACAGATGTCACTGGAGAGAGGCCAAACAAGTGGAGCATCTGCTGTCACCCAGAAAACAGGTTTGCTGGCCAGCGAGGCAAGAGGAGTGGATGGAATTCAAACAGGCGGGGCTGCTGGGCAAAGGGAGGGCCACCCAGCGTGCACCCAGCGTACACCCGGCGAGCAGTGTCCTCCCAGCGTGCCACACCGGGACAGCACAGAGAGAGGCGAATGGGAAACAGGTGTCCTGGGTGCCAGGACAAAGCCCTGCTACTTAACCTGGAGACTGCATCCTCTCGGTGTCCCAACATGACAAAGGGGACAATGCAGTAAACACCTATGGGTGCCTCAGGAGGTACCTGAGGTTTCGAGCAGGGACTTGCCAGCGGAAGATGGATCCTGGATGCAGTGTGGAGCAGCAGAGTCTGAGGGTGGGATGGGCACAGGAAGCCATCACCACTGCCTCAATCCAAGGCGAGTAAGCCCAGGGAAGTGTAATTCGGGCTTGCGCCCTGTGACGGTGCTGACAGCTGTGGGCTCCCGTGGGGGCGGAGGGCAGCCAAGGCACTCAGTGCAAACCCGGAGCGCCAGGCTTGCTCAGGGCAGAAGCCCAACCTTCCAAGCCTTCGTTCCCTCAGCTGCAGGATGGGGAGTACAGTAGCATCTGCGCACGCTTCACCAGGTGGCACCATGCAGGTGCTTCCCCATGCCACCAGCATGAAATCGTCAATAATAACCCGGTCAGGAGACTCCGCAGGTGGGGACGCCGGGCTGGCCTCCCTGAGGCTCTGGGAGCACTGCAGCCCTTCGGAGAGGGGACCTCTTTTTGCAGCCCCTCAGCCAGTCGTCCCTCCATGTGCTGAGCCCACAGACACCCACCAGGCCAAGTCACTGTCCCAAAACAACTCCCCTCATGTACCCTCTCAAGGGTCATTCGAAACCTGTGCTGTGGTCAAAGCCATTGTTCCTCGCTGTCCCAGTTCCCCTCCCCAGAAGGAGAAGGGCTCAGTCTCTGCGGGGCTGCTCTTTCTTCCACATCGTGACAGTGGCCAATGTGTGACCCCCTAGACAACAACCAGTGCTTTACGAGCATCTCAGAGCATCATGGGAAGGGCTGGTCCTTCTCGGCCCAACAGGACCCAAAACCACACCACTGGTGTTGTGCCAGTGGAGTGGGAAGCCTTCCAGGCACCCTCCTGGCTCCCCTCATGCCAGCTCGCCCAACGCTGCACCACGGCCCTGTCTCCGGGAGAGGAAACAGTATGGCTGGCAGCCCAGGAGGGGAGAAGGACCCAAGGACCGCCACAGCATGAGACACGGGAACGTGGACGCAGTGGGCAAACCTGGCCACATCACATACAACCAAGGTGCTGCGGAGCTGGGGAGCAGTGCCCAGGCTCTGACCCTTGGGCCGACATTCTCCCACCTCGGGTTAACTGGGAGGCAGCAGCGTGTTCACCTGTGCCTGCTTCTGCCGTCATCACGCTCTGGGATTCTGCAAATCGCCTTGTACCTCTGCACCTCAGCCCCCTGGTGTAGAACATGACTGGTTTGAACCAGCTGACCCTGCGAGCCCCTCCAGCTTCCAGAAACGGGGCAGGAACCGGGACACGTAGAGACGTGGGTTGTCAAGGACCCTTTGTGTTGAGAGTTCCCTCAGTTCCCCACTGCCCTTTCCTGGAGGCCGCCCCCTCCTCAGGCTGCCAGTCTGGCTCATCCTGCAGATGCAGCTAATGTCCCTCCTACCCCTTCCTCCTCCAGGAAGCCTGTGACTCAGTCACCCCCACACTTTTTCCCCTTGGGTGAGAAGCAGTACATAGTGGTATTTAAAAAAGAACAGCCAGGCTGCCCAGGTTCAAATCCCAGCTCCGCCACTTGCTGCCAAGTGACTGCTCACAAGTGCCTTCGCTTCTTCCACCCAAAACGAGCCTCTCACATCTCTTGTTGAAGCTAAAAACCACCACTGACCCCGACATGTTCTCACAACCCCACCTTTTCCCCCTGACCACTGGAAAGGTGGATCTGATGGAGAAACAGTCAGGATGCGCGAGTCTCTGCTGAAGCAAGAGGCCATTAGGAACTTTTGCTCCTGACAATGAAGGTTCTTGATTGGCCAGCTCTGAATGGGGGTGAGCATGATTTCTGAGCCTGGGCCAGAGCTGGGGGCGGCCATGAACCAGCTCAGCAGCAACCGCAGCCCACTCTAAACACCTCTGAAGTGTGTCAGGCTCTCCCGTTCTTGGACACAGCAGAGCCCAGCATTTAGGAAGGCAGGCTCCAGGGCCAGGCTGCTTCCCATCACACCCCACTCTTCTAATAAGTTTCCCCAGCTCTTCTGTCTCTTAGCTTCTCTAGGGGGAGCAGGGATTGTGACTCTGAAATGGGCTAATATGAGATTAGAACACCACCTGAGACGGCATATGCAGACCACAAAGTGCCACCTAATATCGTGCCACCCCAACGTGCTCCCGAAGACCAGGGAGCGAGGCTAAGGGCGGAAAGCAGTCAGAGCGCAGTCTGATCCCGCTAGATTCTCACGCGGGGTTTGGGGAGCCCGGGTGGGTGTGGGGGGAGGCCCTGGAGATCCTGCGGCTTGGCCAGCACACGTCTCCATGAGGGAGGAAGTTTGTAACTCACATGCCGGCTGCCCTCGCCCACCTGGAGTCCCTAACCCACTCCTCAGCCGCTTCCCGATGAGACTTCCAAACCCGGACTCCTCTGGGGGGTGGGGGACGTGCAGAGCGGGTCTTAGCACGTGGGCACACAGGCCCGTCCCCCACCGCGACGCTGCGGCCTCGCCGGTGCGGGCAGGGAGGGGCCGTGCGGCCCCGGAGCCCGCCA